GAAGTGGAGCAGCTGAGATACAAACCCTGCCCATATGGAATCTTAGCGCATGCAAGGCAAGGACTTAAGCCACTAGCTATGACACTGAGCCCTTATCTCCACTCTTAAATCAAGCTAAGAGAATTTTAGACATTAGCAGAGTCCTCCAAAAGTCACATGGATGCAGGAAATCCTACTAACCATTTTAGACAAAGCAGAATCTGATACAGTCAAATAATTGCTACAGCTCTGTCTGCAGCATTTCTCTTTTTCTGGTGGAAGAGGAAGCACAGAAAAGGGTTGAGACCTTGGGTCTGACTGCTAAGGATTCAGAGCTGTGTGGGCTTTAATAAGGATATCTGTAGTCAGCATTGTGTAGGAGAAGACAAAGTATGAGCTGGAACAAAGCAGAATAGGAAGCAAAGCCAAAGAGTGAACAGGTAATAGCTTCCAGAGAAAGGAGTTGTCCAAGAGATGAAAAAGCAGCTCAGCAACAATGTCCCTAAATGTAGACACTTAGAACTGCAACAAAGCATCCCTCTCAACTGAGTATCAGTGGATGAAATCTAGCCAGGGAAGAAACTATTCTGGAAAATGGCAGGATGAATCTATGCAGGCTGCCTTTGGCCTTGGCCAACTTGTCCCATCCCAGGAAAAACCAATTCAACATCCCTGAGATGCGTCTGCCCAGAGCTGCTGCTGGCAGCTGTTCTCTTGGCAACACAGGGAGACAAATTCATGGCATTGCTGGGCCAACAGCTGCTACAGCTCCGGGGGAGGTGACAAGTGCCCGCTGAGATGCTCTGGGCAGAGAATGAACTATTCTAGGACCAGGCCCAGAGTCAGCAAAATTGAGGCAACAGTTCACCAGCTGAATGAAACCACCCTTCTACTCCAGAACCAGGAAACCAAAAGCCCTTTCTGTTCCTATTTCTTTGATTTGAATTAATCTTTGCCTTCCCAACTCACCCCATCTTTTTTGTTTCCAAGGTTGCTGTTTCAGCTTCAATGCACATTAACCTCACCAATGGAATGCAATTCATTTTTTTTAAGGACTTGATTTATTTTTATTGGAAAGGCAGATTTACAAAGAAAAGGAGAGACAGAAATCAAGTCTGCTCATTCACTCTCCAAGAGGCCTGGATGGCTAAAACTCAATTGATCCAAAGCCAGGAGCTCCTCTAGGTCTCCCAAGTGGGTGAATGATCCCAAGAATTTGGGCCATCCTCCTCTGCTTTCCCAGGCCACAAGCAGGGCGCTGAATGGGAAGTGGAGCGGCTGGACACAAACTGGCACCATTTGGGATCCTAGTGCATGCAAGGCAAGGATTTAGCCATTGACCCATCACACCACCATTCATTCTTAACAGCCCTCTTCCATGCTCCAGCTGACGGTATGCATTGCTACCATGACTCCCTTTCCAAAGCAGTCAATCCTATTCCTTGTTCAAAAATTATTAATGGTTCCTGCATATGAACAGAATAAAGCCCAAACTCTGTCACTTGATATCCATACATTTCTGTAATTTTTTGGCCCCTACCAATGTTTTCAGTTTCTTTCACAATCACATTTGTAATTCCTGTTCTTCAACAAAACAGACAAATTATCCACCAGCCTTGTTTTTCTCACCGCTGTGCTTTTACTATCTCTGTTCTCTCTGCATACCAGGGTTGCTTTCGCACATTTTGACATCCTCCTAAAACTTTCACAATATCTCAACTATACTAAGCTTATCGGACCATATGGAATGTTTATGTTTCCATTTTCCATCCATGGAACTGCTCCTGTTTTCCACATTCTGGCTAGCAGGGTGTGCCATCCCAAGACTGTTACCGCCCCACCCCACCTTTATAAAGATGTATTTATTTTTATTGGAAAGGTAGATTTACAGACAGAGGGAGACAGAGAGAAAGATCTTCCATCCATTGGTTTACTCCCCAAATGGCTGCAACGGCCAGAGCTGAGTGAATCTGAAGCCAGGAGCCAGGAGCTTCTTCTGGGTCTCCCAGATGGGTGCAGGGTACCAAGGCTTTGGGACATCCTCGACTGCTTTTCCAGGCCACAAGCAGGGAGCTGGACAGGAAGTACACCAGTTGAGACACAAACTGATTTTCATATATGATCTCAGCACACGCAAGGTAACGACTTTGGGCCATCCTCGACTGCTTTTTCAGGCCACAAGCAGGGAGCTGGACAGGAAGTACACCAGTTGAGACACAAACTGATTTTCATATATGATCTCAGCACACGCAAGGTAATGATTTAGCTACTAAGCTTCTATGTTGGGCTCCAAGACTGTTTCTTTTAAAGAGTAAATATGTACCTACCCCTTGCTGGGTTGTTGTATCAATGCCTCGAATGTGGACATGGTAGCAGTGAGCATTTTGGGTCCTATAGACAACCTCCTGGGGCTGCCATAAGGAGCTCTGACATAGTTCTGGATGGTTTAACATCCTGGCTATTACACAAGAAATAAATCAGCCTCTATCTTAAACCATTAGTATCTGGGCCCTATTAGAACAGCCAAGACTTCATCTTTACCAAATTAGACATGCCTGAGATGTCCTTCCCTTGCCAAAGTGTTCATTGGATAACAAACCTTTGAAGCTTGGCACAGTGTTGCTGTCTGCTTCAGCAGCATGGCTGTCTCAGTAGAGTAGTGTGTGTGTTGTGCAAACATCTCAACAGTTGGTTTTCTTTTGGAATACAGAAATAAGCGGAAAATGGAAAAACTAAAGTGTTGTTGCAATATTACACTGAAAGGCAGCAGTCATCGTTGTATTAAAAAGACACAGGAATATAAATTATAAGCTATGTCGAATCCTCAGATGCTCACTTGACTTAGGCAGGAACAGTATAAGTTAAGTTGCAGAGAGAAGGAAAAAAAGCACAAAGTTGTATCTAAATAAATAGTCACTTGTTGTCAAAAAGAAAATGATAAGTAAGTACCTGCTACCAGAAGGGAAATAACTTCTTCCAGCCTTGAAGAAGAAAAGAGTCTGTTTCCTGCATACAGTCTTAATCAGAACCATTCAGAAGTCTACAGCCATACCACCCTGATTGCACCCGATCTCATCTAATCTTGGAAGCTAAGCAGGGTCGGGCCTGGTTAGTACTTGGATGGGAGACCATTCAGAAGACTTAAGATTAACATAACTCTACCTTGATTTATAAGGAATATGTCCTTAAGCAGAGAATATGATATAGTACTAAAACACAACACTACTGAGCAGGAGGAGTTTACTAACAGAATAAATCCAATTTTGAATCATTTTCTAGGGTAAATGATTCCTCCCTCAAGCCTTCATTTATCACATACTGAAATAACATTTTATTATCAGATGATTCCTTTATCAGAAACAAAGTAGAACTGGGGAAAGATAAGGGACTCTGAGGAGAAAGTCTCTGGAGGAACTGCTGCTGGGTTACGCTGACAGGCAACACAGCTACATTCTCAACCTAAGCTTCCATACCTATTGCTCAGAGTTGGCTTGTAAAGGACAATAAGCACACTAGTTAGTTAGAGCAATAAGCAAAAACAAAGAACAGGATAAAATAAGATGTGCTGGCATGAATTCTTAAACCAATTCATTAATTTACTCATTTTACAACATCAAGTAAGTAGATGGTGTATGGCACATGTTAAGTTAGGCACTGGAGGACACTAAAATGAATCAGACCAGCTTTTACAGTCTACAAAAAGAAGACCATATAAGGCAAACAGTGATGAATGCCCCAAGACTAAATAAAATACTGTAAGAATTCAGAAGATAAGGCCCAGCGCAGTGGCCTAGCAGCTAAGTGTTTGCCTGAGCGCCCTGCTTCCCATTCAGCTCTCTGCCTGTGAAAGCAGTAGAGGACGGCCCAAGGCCTTGGGACCCTGCACCCACGTGGGAGGCCTGAAGGAAGCTCCTGGCTTCAGATTGCCTCAGGTTCAGCCATTGTGGTCTATTGGGGAGTGAATTGTCAGAAGCCAGGTCTTCTCCTCTCTGTCTCTACGCCTCTCTGTATATCTGACACTATAATTAAAAAAAAAAAAAAAAAAGACTTCGGAAGATAAAGAATGTTCCCCTGGAGGATCAGAAAGTTTCATGTAAGAGGGAGCATATGAGATGGGCCTTATTGTGTAGGTTTGGCTTAAACATGCAGAGACAGGAAAAACGGGCATATACATTCAAATAATAGGACAGCAACAACCTTTTGGAGTGAATATTCCATTTAGCTTACATAAAGTGGAATATACATAAAAATAAGGTTGGAAAGCTGCTAAGGCGAGGGGTAGTAGAAGGTCTTGAAGACCAAGCCAAGAAGTTTTTATCTTTATGAACAGAATAGCACTTCTCAAATTTCAACATGGGGATTCCATTATGGTAGGTCTATGGTAGGGCCTGAGATTCTGCATTTAAAATATTCCAAAAGATGTTGAAAATGAGAGATCACACACCCTGAGTATCAATAACATAACCAATGGGAAGCTGGTGGAAGTTTTGCACAGACTGATCTCTAGCATGTTCCAGGTCTAAGTTGTGCATGGATTTAGATGTATGGCTACTTCTTACATCATATATTTCTCCTAGTTAACGACAGCTTGGTGAAATGAGTACAGACCCTGGAGCAAGACTGTTGGGGTCTAAACCCTAACTTTACTCTTTAACAGGGGATTGTGAAAGTGTAAGTCTGAATTAAGTTCCTTAACTCTATTATGCTTGCTTCCCCATCTATAAATTAGAGATAATAACAATAACCAACAAATGGAGTTGTGAGAATTAAGAAAACACATACATACAGCGCTTGAAACTATGCCTGAAACATAGAAAGAGCTTTCAAACTATTAGCTGTTATTATGTGCATGAGACATTGTACATTATGATATTGCAACTGCATGTAAGACTGAGCTGCAAAAGGAGAAATCTTTGAAGGATTTCAGCAACTTGAAGTCACTGGCTCAAGAATTCAACTGGATCTAAATGCAACATTCCAGAACCCAGGATCACCAAGAGCAATAGCCACCAAGCCCCTACTTGAATTGCTGGTCCTTGGTGCTGCGGGTCTTGGCCAGAAAGCGCTCAGCCAGCTTCTCCAGGTTCCGGGAGTAGTCCATCTCAATCTCAGCCTTCTTCCGGAAGAAGTCCTGGAGGTCCTGCAGCAGCTGCACCCGGAGTTCACACTGCTGATCCAGGCATTTCATCTGCTCTGTGAGCTGAGCACGAATCTCTGCAATAGAAACCAGGGGATGTTTAGTGAACAGTCCTAAAATAACATTCTACATGCCAGCATTCACTCACCTTTCATTTCCTGTTCCTCAGCTCCCTGGAGAATCCAAAATCTTTAGTAATAAAGAAAAACCTCTATAGTCTAAAGCGATTATATTATGTGAGTTATCTCCAAAAGCCTCCAGCAACACTTTCTGGAAATATTGTGAATCAGAAATCTGCCAAATCATTTAGGGAAGCTACAAATCTCACCTAATCATATTCAAAACTACTCTTAAAAAAAAAAAAGAACAATTTACTACATTTCCAGGTCAGTACCAGAATTTGGGTTCTTTACCAACAGAAAGCCAAAGGAATTCTCTCAACCACCATAGGAGGTACAAATTATTTCATCCCTATCCTAAAGATGAAAACATTGAATCCTTTAAAATATATATATTTATTTGAAAGGTAGAGTCTTAGATAGAGACGGACAGAAATCTCCCAAGTGCTGATCTGCAAAGGGTCACAGTGGCCAGAGCTGGACCATGCCCAAGCCAGGAGCCAGGAACTCCATCTGGGCCTGCCACTTCGGTAACAATGTCATATTTTCCTCCCAGGTGCCTTAGCAAAACTGAAAACAGCAGCCGGAAAACTAGCCAGCACTTGCATATAGGATGCTAGTGTTACTTAACGCACTGTACTACATTACAGACCCTAAAACTCTGAGTCTTGAAGGAATCAAGCTGGTAAGTATGGAACCAGACCTCAAATCCAGCAAGACGATTTTACAGTCTATGCTTCTACTTACCATACTTTTAAAAATCATTTCAAAATGTTATACACCATCTTGAAGAAGAAGGGTTAGTCAGAATATTTTAATAAAGGCAGAGGGAGACCTGCCCAAGGTCAATGGTGACAAACAAAACAAGCCCCAGGCTGTTTTCTGTCAAGCAAACCATCCACTGTCCCTCAGATTTCATAGTTTTCAATATCACAGAATGTAAATCAATCCTGAAGAAGTTGATTTGGAAAGACATTTTATTTTTTTCACACCCTGCTCTGTTACCTCATCCTCATAGATAACTCAGAGTCGGCCTGGGCTGGCCAGAGACCTTGTGCAGAGGTCACAAACCATCACTCTGCAACTGCAACAATGATACCTTCAGATTCAACCAGCTCCGCCTACAGTGGACCCCTGCATTCATCACTGACAAGGCTTGCTGCTCAAAGATGCTGCCTGCCAATGTCAGGCTACTTTTCAGCTCAGTGAGGGGCTGCAGTATGGATCCTTCCAAAGTTAGTTCCTGATCTCCTGATCCCCAACTAAGTCAGATTGAGTGGTTTGGGTTTTTCATCTTCTTCCCCTGCAAGTCTGCTGAGCTCCAAGTACATGAGGATGTGACAGAGACAAAGAATACCTACATCATGCCTTTCATCAGCTATGCTCCAGGTTAGTGCCCAAACAATTCAAACATAACAACACTTTTTATCTGTGATATGTAATGCAAGGTGGGGTGGAGGAGGTGACTAGAATTTTCATCTGATGAATAGATAAATCAGGAAAATTGGATTACAGGGATAACATTGCAAGCACTCCTTCATGGAGCAAGAGCGTAGAGGTAAATGGTGCATTCAGTTTTGTGTTGAGATATTATCTCCATTTTCATTGTTTGCTTTTGTTTCTACAGATATCAGTATGTAGCACAAGTACCTTGTCCTGGCTGGGTGATCTTAGGGGATCTGCCACCGCAGTTATCTCCAGCTTCAACCCTACACCTCCCCCTTGCCAACGACCAATGCCAACCAGCCCTGCAATGACCTCACCTGAACTGAAACTGAGCACTACAGATATTTCAAGCAGACAGAAGGCTGAGCAGAAAAGCCGCCTACCTCATCACTCATCAAAGCTCTCTTGTTCTGTGTTTTTTGGAGTCTGATTACAAGGGTGTAGGGGAGAAAGATCTGCAGAGGTCATGTCAGGCATCTGGTTCTTACCAGGGATTTTTGGATCTCTTAAAGGCAACAGCCCTTGTTGAGACTATGCCTAGAGGCATCTGTTCCCTCTCCACGTATTAAGGAAAAGCTGGGACTTGTAGCCATTACGCGTGTGTGGGCAGGGGTATGGGGGTCGGGGAGTCAGAGCACACAGAGCATTCAAAATGTCCTTCAGGTACTCAATCAAGGGGAGAGGGATGGACAGGATGTTATCTCAATAATCTCATTAACCAGAGGTATAGGAAAGAACACACTAGACTGAAAAGCATCTACCCCATACCAAAAAAGGGAGCAAAGTTCTGCAACACAAGTTCTAAAAGTAGGGCACTGCACAGTTGTCCTCCAAGCAACAAGCACTTCATAGGAGATCTCAGAGATACATGAATTAATCTAATAAGCCTCCAGGCCCATCCCTCTATCCTGGAACCCCCAGCTCAGGTGCCTGAGTGACCGGAGGCACAGCACAAACTGCATGCCACCCTTAGGGTCCCTTCTTGGTCCTGAAGGAAGGGAGCATGTGTCTACTGAATACATTTTAAATTTCACAACTACTCTAAAAGGTATTCCCAATTATTGTTTTTGCATACGTAAGTGAAGTGAAGACTTGTTACATAGTTTAACAAAGGGTCCATAAAAATAGTTGCAAACTGCTGTTGAAGCCAAATTAAACTTCATCTGACTTGTCAATAGTAGGGCAGGGGGACAGGAGAAATCTGACACCAACTTGGAGCCTCTGAAGGTATTAGTGGGGAACTGACAGTGACTATGAACCTCAGCCCTGGAATACTGTTTCCTCCATCTTCCAGCAGAGGAGTGTCAGAGCCCAGAGTCAACTTTGGACTATCCCACTGACTGACTAGCTAGCCTGTGTTTCAACTAACCTACAATCAGACTGGATCCCTTTTCCACTTCCTAGAACTACTCTACAAGGCAGCTTTGGAGGAAGTGCTTTTTTTGTCCTTTGAGTGTACTCTGAGATCATCTAACAAACCCAGCAGGTGCAGACAATTAAGATGCAATATTCCCCCTGTTGATCCAGGAAAAAATAGAGGCTCTGCCAATAGATACTACTTGCCACTGTAGTTTCTCTGTGCTCTGACATCATTGAGCATCTCCACTTTTCCATACTCTCCAGTGAGGAGCCTTGCTAGCTACTAGCATGCTCAGAGTATCTGCACAGACATGCAGGAGACTCTAACCACTCCTACCCCGGGCCTACAGCTCCAAGATAGAACGGGGGCTCTGTTCAGGGCAGAATGTGCTACTTCAGGCCTTGCTGCTGCTGCTAACACAAACAATGGTCCCCAAGAAGGCAGTCGGGCCAGCCCTGGTTCTTTATCCATGTGCATAGACGGGACAGGAAACAATAGGTCTCTGAATGCCAGCATGCCTGGGCCATGTGCCCAGACCAGGGGCCCCTCTGCACCCTGGCCTACTAACAAGTCACAAAGGCAGAAAGAAGAAAACGGTAATTTGTAAAAGCCCAAAGAAATTCTCCTTACTTTCCTTGTGTGCTTAGGCAAGTATACGCATACACATTTTTGCAAACTCAAAGAAACACACTATGCACACTACCCACACTACACTCCGCACACCAACTCAAGAAGGCTTTACAGACCCTTCCAGTTGAGTGAGAGGTCCTGAGAGCTATGGGAAACAATGGGATTCTTATAGGTTTCTTCCATACAATTACATGGAAAGAAATCAAGTTCTCACTTCCCACAAGTGGCTATATGGAAAAATTCCTGGCTATCCACAAAACCAAAGTACCAAAGTTATCATGAGCTTCTTGAAGTGGCACACAACTAGAATAACCTTCCCTGGGCATCCCATCAGATCACTGGCCAACAAATCTTACTAAGCCCCACCTACCTCATGAGGCTGACAATAACTTAAGCCCAAAGTCTTATGCTTTTGTTTTGAATATTTTTTATTATATCAAAGCCATAGTAATAATCTAAAGACCTAACTAAGATTTAAAAATCATCAGTAGTGGAAAGTAACAAATTTTAAGCTAAAAAAAAAAGTTACCATCCCATTCTCTTCTGCTGTGTCCTTTGAAAATAATACTGGAGATCTCATTCAATGGCTCAATTGCCTAATCCTGCCCACTGTAAGCACCAGGATCCCATCTGGGTGTTACTTTGTATCCTTGGTGATCCATTTCCCATCCAGCTCCTTGCTTATGGTCTGGGAAAGCAGCTGTGGATGGCTTAAAGCCTTGGGACCCTGCACCTGCATGGGAGACCTGGAGGAAACTTCAGATCACCTCAGCACTGGCCATCATGCCCATTTGGAAAGTGAACTAGTGGATGGGAGATCTTTATGTCTTTCCTTCTCTCTGCAAATCTGCCTTTCCAATAAAAATAATCTTTAAAAATAAAATGGAACAAAAATTGCAGCTTCCCTTGTAACAAGGACCAAAGTTTTTAAACAAGCTTCCTGAGAGTCAGAGTTGCTCTTTGGTTGATATTTCATTTAAAGATTCAAGTCAAAATCTAACTTCAATGTTTCAGAATCAAGACAGAGGTGATGGTTACACAATCTTGTAAACATATTGCTTAAAAAAAAAAACACTGAATTACACACTTTATAAATAATAGTTTTTGGGCCCAGCACAACGGCTCAGTGCTTAAAGTCCTTGCCTTGCACATGCTGGGATCACATATGGCCGCTGGATTGTATCCTAGCTGCTCCATTTGCCATCCAACCCCCTATGTGTGGCCTGAGAGAGCAGTCAAGGATGGCCCAAATCCTTGGAACCCTGAACCCACATGGGAGACCTGCAAGAAGCTCCTGGTTCCTGGTTTCAGATCAGCTCAGCTCCAACCACTGCAGTCACTTGGGTAGTAAACCAGCGGATAGAAGATTTTTCTCTCTGTAAATCTGCCTTTTGAAGGAAAATAAATAAATCTTTAAAAAGAAAATGAATTTTATGGTATGTGAATTACATCTTTCTTTTAGAAATCAGGGGCTAACACTGTGATACAGCAGATAAAGCTTTGACCTGTGACACTGGCATCC